GGGAGGGTAAAAAATAAAAAAATTGAAGTTGTAAAATGTTTTTTTAAAATAAGATTTAAATTTATTTTTCAACAAAAATATTGTAATTTGAAGTTAGAGGAAAGTTTTGGAAAATGTTTTCCTCAAGTTTTGAAGAAAAAAAAGTCATTTTTCTTGAATCTGAGGAAAATGAGTTGATTTGAAAAACATTTTTCAAAACATTTTACCCAATCAAACATGAGAAAATTAGAAAACTTCATACCAAACACACCCATAGTTATGGGTGGCAAACGGTTGGATTGAACAAAAATGGTATGGATTACAATCCACCTAAATAGAATAGGTATGGGTAAAATGGTTCTAACTCATTTTAAAAATTCTGTTTTTCAAAAAAAAAAATTACCCCCTCCCCTGGGCACCCCCTACACCTTCCACCAACCTACCCCTAATTTTTTTTGTTTTCCAAAAACAAAAACAAATCTTTTTTTTCAAAAAAAAAAATTACCCCCTCCCCTGGGCACCCCCTACACCTTCCACCAACCTACCCCTAATTTTTTTTGTTTTCCAAAAACAAAAACAAATCTTTTTTTTCAAAAAAAAAAATTACCCCCTCCCCTGGGCACCCCCTACACCTTCCACCAACCTACCCCTAATTTTTTTTGTTTTCCAAAAACAAAAAAAAATCTGTTTTTTCAATAAAAATATTACCCCCTCACCCAGGCTCCCCCCCTTCCACCAACCTATCCCTAAATATTTTTTGTTTTCCAAAAACAAAAACAAAAAAATTGTTTTTTCAATTAAGTTTGAAAATTAATTGAATTTTTGAAAATCAATTGAATTTTTGAAAATCAATATTAATTTTTTTATTTTTTAGCACAATTAAGAATTTTTAGTGGAAGTGAAAACTAAGTGATCTATTATGGGTCAAATATGGATATCCATATTTAACTCATTTTGACCATATTTGTAGAGACTCTTAAAATAGCTTGGAACTCATATTTAACCAATTAAAATATGAGTGATCCAAGTCATTAAATATGGGCAAAATGGTCTCATTTCATTAATATGGGCTGAAATTGCCACGCCATACTTATAGTTATCCCCCTCCCAGTAGTAAAGATTATAACTTCACAAGTCGTGGGGTTTGATTTTCTTAATTGCCTTAAAAAATACGTTCTTAATATTTCAAAGAGGCCTTAAGTTGGTGAAAAAGATTGTGTGCTTATCATTTCATCACAATTGAGGTTTTGTGTTATTTTGTGGGACGACATCCTGTCTAAACTCACATATATAGCTGAGAGTAATTCTGTTGAACATGTTTAAGTTTGATGCATTTGAATTTCCTCTCGAATTTTGAGAGTTCCGACTTTAAATTTTTTATTTTTTTTAAAAAAGCATGCAGATTTTTTTGGTGCTTGAATTTGAGTTATACATCCCTAGAATTTCTATTATTTATTTCTTAATTTCTAATGCTTATGGATGGTATAGTGTTTGGTGTTAATTTGATTTATTGCGCAAGATCTTATTTGTAGAGATATTTTTTTAGATGGTCAGCGTATAAACTCTACAATATTTTACGATATCCAATCTAAGGACATGTCCTAGAATTCATGAAAGAAAAACCTTCAATCTCGATGATAGTCAATTGAGCTCTTAATTTAAGATTAGAAATTATACGAAACAATCAAAGTTATAGAGGTTTCAATCTCTCTTTCTTTTGAAGGCTAATCTTTTCAGTTCTATGTTTTTTCTAATCTTTTATGGAGGTTTACTTTAGGTATAAATACATCTCTTTGCGTCATTTCGTAATCACGTTTGTGATAATATATTCTACATCGACATTTCGTAATTATGTTTATGATCACATATTATACATTTGTTTGACTGGTTGTATCTAATAGCTATACATAGTTTGTGGTGTATTTGAGATGATTAAAAATTATATACTTGCATTTTAAATTTGTTGTGATACTCAATTATACAAAAAAAAATTAATTTGTTTGTTGCTGTACGAAGTGTAAGCTATTTTACTTTTGATAAAGTTAAATAAAGCAATATTAATATGCTGGAAGTTAAAATGAGACTATAGTGATTACATATAAATGTACACTTCTGCTAAAATATAATAGGAGTATACTTTTCGGCTAAATATATATATATATATATATATATTATAACATTAATGTATAATTTTATAAGTAATGTTTAAATTTTTGAACCACAAGTTACGGTTTATTTATCTTTTAGGGAAAAATTATAGAATATGGCAAATATTAATATATATTTAAAATGAATAGCTACAGTTTTTTTTTAATGTTATATGGGATATAACTACACAATTAATAGCAAAGTTAATTATATACAAATAATCAGAAAAGTTATTAAATATTAATTTTTTCCCCAATTTCTTTCAAATATAAGATCCTTTTGATGATTCTAGGAGCAATTTTTGTGATTTGAATTCATCAGACATCTTCTAATTGAATTTTTCCCTCATTTTTATGAAGATTATATTTATAATCATCCATATTTTCATCTATTTTTATAGGGTTTCGATTGAACAATTATGCTCTCCCACACACACACACACACACACATATATATATATATATATATATATATTATAACATTAATGTATAATTTTATAAGTAATGTTTAAATTTTTGAACCACAAGTTACGGTTTATTTATCTTTTAGGGAAAAATTATAGAATATGGCAAATATTAATATATATTTAAAATGAATAGCTACAGTTTTTTTTTAATGTTATATGGGATATAACTACACAATTAATAGCAAAGTTAATTATATACAAATAATCAGAAAAGTTATTAAATATTAATTTTTTCCCCAATTTCTTTCAAATATAAGATCCTTTTGATGATTCTAGGAGCAATTTTTGTGATTTGAATTCATCAGACATCTTCTAATTGAATTTTTCCCTCATTTTTATGAAGATTATATTTATAATCATCCATATTTTCATCTATTTTTATAGGGTTTCGATTGAACAATTATGTGTTTCCCCATTGCAATGGCTCTCTCTCTCTATATATATAAGTAGTACATGAAGAACATGAGCAAAAAAGGATTGATGTTTGTGTGATTGTCAAAATTGTATACAATAGAATACTTATATACATAAATACTTGTATTATAATATTGACACATAAGTAATATATCCAATTTGAAAAAGGTTGATTAGGCAATACAAGTATAGTTAGATACATTAATACTATATTTTTATAAATAAATACCTCAGTTAACACCAAACCTTAATTATTACACAAAAAACTTGACCAAAATGAGATTGCCGTTTGTTGGCCTTTTCAATTGAATACTTACACACTTTGATACCTACCTATTCTATTATTTCCCATTTTTCTTGTTTTTGGGTTGTCTATTGTCTTTTGTTTAACAACAATATATTCATATGTATACCGTATTATACATATACCGTATTAGTGTATTCATTTTTTTGTCTAACAATAGTGTATCTATTTTTCAAATTGTTGTGTTCATACTAAATTGTTATACTTTACCTTGTTTGATATATTAATACATTAAGTTTTATAAATAGAGATACCAATTTGAATTTGTACAATTAATACATTTTCCTTATTAGTTCATAGTAAATAAAATTGTATCAATGTATAAATAGAAAAATGAAAAACATATACAAAAATACAGCTAGAAAAAGACATAAAATATGTCATTTTTTTTATAAATAACATACTTTTAGCTATTAAATTTTTTCATAACTCTATAAATATAGTCATTTTTGTAAGTTGCTCTTTTAGAAATTTCACATTATCAATGTACAATGAAATATTTTATTTATTTTTAGTTAGCAATGGAATAAACACTTCTTTTTTTAAAAGTAAATAAATATATATTTTGTATTTGTTTTTTCCGCGTGCATTTTATTTTTTCGCGTGATCGAACGCTATAAAATACACTCACCAGTCACAAGTCAGTCGTCACCATCATATACACAGTCGCTACCGGCGCATCTTAGAGTGCGCCACCGGATTGATGTCCGATCAGAACCCTAAACCACAAATCAGTTTTGCCGTCGATGTTATCTGCTTCTTCCATCCATTAAGAAAGAAAAAAGGAAAATTGGAGAATTGCTACTGTCAGGTTTTTCTTGGAATTCTTGCAGTTGCATGCTTCTTTTTAAGAAAAATAAATCAAGAACTTGTTGTCTTTTTTGAATTTACACGTATTCTTAAATATCTTCAGAAAGAATGTATTGGCATTGTAAATATCAAAGAAAATTCAAGAAATCTTTTCTTTTTTCAATAAATTAGGTTGTTATTCTCCCAGAGTGTGTGTTCAAGAATTTGTTTTTACTCTTTTAGGAAGACGGGTGACATTTGCAATGCCAATATATTCTTCATACGCTACTGGAGGATATTAGAGTACGCCACACACCACCGGATTACTGCTATTAACTGTTTTGGTGACAATGTCCAATTAAAACCGTAAACCCCAAATACATTTTGCACCTGCTTCTGGAAAATTGGAGAAGTTGATACTTCTCCTTCATCATGAATTTCCCTCCGGAAGTTAAGTTCGGATACTTCTCCTTCATCATGAATTTCCCTCATGATCTTCATGTGTTTGAGGTCTCATTTTAGTAGTGGCTATATTAATCTGTAGATCATGTTCACAGGGTTAAAAGCGCATATGAGAGGTAACATGTGTCTTGGATCAAGAAGAACGTATTTTCAAGTCAAAGATTCTAAATCTGCAAAACTGTAAGTACTTCCTTTCCTCCATCCTCACTGCATTGGCTGTATCTTGATCTGAAGTCATTCTGGAGGACTTCTCCTATTGATATTACCAAGTAGCTAAAACATATCTTTTCTCTGATTTGGCAACTAGAGCTATCTAGATGAGAGGCACCGTCATAGATATGAGGTTCAACATTTTTATTTCTTTAAATTTGGAACTGTGGTTTAACTATTTCTCATCTAGGTGGACTGGTTTAATAATTCTATGTGGACCATAAGATGTGATATCTTTAATAAGGGATGAATGCTAAAACTTTATCATGTGCTATGTAGGTGAATACTGATATGGTGCAGCAATTTGAAGATGCTGGCCTTTCTTTCACTGGCAAAGATGAAAGTGGTCGTCGCATGGAGGTGAACCTTTTATCTAATTGAATTTTGAAGTCATGATAGATACTCGTAGTGTTGTTATTGGTTTTATTATAATTGAATTATGAAGCCATTGAATGGAAAGATGTGGAGTTTTTCTTGTTGAAGGCCCCACTCGCAAAACTCTAAAAAAAGTAGTTTAATTATAAAAAGTCGTGATTTGTAGTATTTTAAATGAAGACACTCGAATGGACAGACTTCTGTATACACCCCCTGTAGTCATTTTCTTTTACATGATCTAGACTTCTTATCTTCTTTGAAATGAACATGGTCTAGACTTTTGAATTTGATTGTTTCTTAAAAGTTGAAAATTGTGTCAAGTAAGAGAATGGGGAATTATACGTTTTCTGATTTTGTAAATGTTTTGAGGATGAATAGAGGTGGGCTGCTGAGAATATGGCAGAGGCAGTGATCGGTGAGGTTCTTCAATGAATTCTTATGTTCCTTTGTTTGCTACTTCTGATTACGAGGGCATATGCTTTCTATGAAAATTTATATACCTTTTCTCCTCTTAGTGTATGATACTCCATTCTAGTATCATATGTAAAAAAAAATCAAAATGAATAATTCTTATTTCACAACATTATTTCTTTTTTCCATGAGATTAACTTCCTCGTAGGATATTTCTTTTTATGTTTGTTATTCTTATAAGTAGTGTACTCCTTGTTTGAACTTAACCCAGTTTCCACCAGGTATATGTTTCTATAGGCATTGGGACCTGCTATGTTAAGGTGGATGACAATGGTAAGTAAAAGTTTCTTTGACATTGATCTAATGTATTTGACATTCATCTGAAGTTGTACTTTCTTTTGAAGGTCTTGCATTCTCTGTAAGAGTCTTGCCTAAGAGCCGCCTTTCAAAATTGTTGATATTGAAAGATCCGTCTTTGTTTTACCAGCTAACTTAAGGATATTTCCTGTCTGGCTTTTTAGATGTTGTAAGTTTGTGTGCAGTGAGGATGACCTACTTTGCACACGTGCTTCTCCTTCTCTGTTGCCGCTATTGTCCAGTGGGTTTGGCATCCCTTTGAGTTCCCTTAACAATTTGTTCAGTGAGGACGGTTCATTCTTGCTCTCAGGATACATCTTAGGTCCTGATGTTTACACGGTGAAGGTAAACAGGCCTAAATTGATGGATAAAGAGATGTGATAAGTCATCTTTTCTAGTACCCCTACTTAATCTTATGTACTCTTGTGATGTCTGACAGAGTCATCTGTAAATAGGGGTGGAAGCTGTATTAGTTCCTAGAGGATTTGGTGATAGATGTGTGGAGGGTAAAATACTTGCTGCCAAATATGCCCGTGAAAACTGGATTCCTTACCTGGGTGGCTGGGCATATGTCTAGGCATGCAAATTGTTGTTATCGAGTATGCTAGATCCATTCTTGGGTTGCAAGATGTGAACAGTACAGAGTTTGATCCCAACACCGACAATCCTTGGGTAATTTTTATGCCGGAAGTTAAGTTCTGATACTTCTCCTTCATCATAAATTTCCCTCATGATCTTCATGTGTTTGAGGTCTCATTTTAATGGTGGCTATATTAATCTGTAGACCATGTTCACAGGGTTCAAAAGCGCATATGAGAGGTACCATGTGTCTTGGATCAAGAAGAACATATTTTCAAGTCAAAGATTCTAAATCTGCAAAACTGTAAGTACTTCCTTTCCTTCATCCTCACTGCATTGGCTGTATCTTGATCTGAAGCCATTCTGGAGGACTTCTCCTATTGATATTACCAAGTGGCTAAACTATATCTTTCTCTGATTTGCCCCGGAGCTCTCCAGATGAGAGGCATCATCATAAATATGAGGTTCAACGCTGTTTTTCTTTAAATTTGGAACTGTAGTGTATCTATTTCTCATCTAGGTGGACTGGTTTAATAATTATAGGTGGACCATAAGATGTGATATCTTTAGTAAGGGATGCATGCTCAAACTTTATCATGTGTTATGTAGGTGAATCCTGATACGGTGCAGCAATTTAAAGATGCTGGCCTTTCTTTCATTGGCAAAGATGAAAGTGGTCGCCGCATGGAGGTGAACATTTTATATATTTGAATTTTGAAGTCACGATAGATACTCGTAGTGTTGTTATTGGTTTTATTATAATTGAATTATGAAGCCATTGAATGGAAAGATGTGAAGTTTTTCTTGTTGAAGGCCCCACTTGCACAACTCTAAAAAAAACAAGCAGTTTAATTATAAGAAATTGTGAAAGCAGTGTAATTATAAGAAATTGTGAAAGCAGTTTAATTATAAGAAATTGTGATTTGTAGTATTTTGAACGAAGGCACTCGATGGGACAGACTTCCGTATACACCCTCAGTGGTCATTTTCTTTTGCATGGTCTTGAGTTTTTATCTTCTTAGAAATGAACTTGGTCTAAACTTTTTGATTTTGATTGTTCCTTAAAAGTTGAAAATTGTGTCAAGTAAGAGAATGGGGAAGTATATGTTTTCTGATTTTTTTAATGTTTTGAGGGTCAATAGAGGTGGGCTGCTAAGAATATGGCAAGTCGTACTTTAATGCAAGTTTAATCGCTTAGAGTAGTTGCACAAAAGGCAGTGATCGGTGAGGCTTTTCAATGAATTCTTATATTCCTTGGTTTGCTACTTCTGATTAAGAGGGCATATGCTATATATGATAATTGATATACTTTTCTCCTCTTAGTATGGTTCTCCATTCTAATGTCATAAGTAATTTTATTTTCCAAATGAATATTCTTATATCACAACACTATTTCCTGTTTCCATGAGATTTACTTCCTTGTAGGACTGTTCTTTTTATGTTTGTCATTCTTATAAGTTATATGTAGTTTACTCCTAGTTTGAACTTAACCCTGTTTCCACCAGGTATATGTTGCTATAGGCTTGAAACCTGCTATGTTAAGGTGGATGACGATGGTAAGTGTAGTTTCTTTGACATTGATCTAATGCATTTGATGTGGAGAAAGTTCTGCTCAATTTATTATATTACCTCATTATCTGAAGCTGTACTTTCTTTTGAAGGATCATCTGAAGTTGTACTTTCTTTTGAAGGATCATCTGAAGTTGTACTTTCTTTTGAAGGATCATCTGAAGTTGTACTTTCTTTTGAAGGATCATCTGAAGTTGTACTTTCTTTTGAAGGATCATCTGAAGTTGTACTTTCTTTTGAAGGATCATCTGAAGTTGTACTTTCTTTTGAAGGATCATCTGAAGTTGTACTTTCTTTTGAAGGATCATCTGAAGTTGTACTTTCTTTTGAAGGATCATCTGAAGTTGTACTTTCTTTTGAAGGATCATCTGAAGTTGTACTTTCTTTTGAAGGATCATCTGAAGTTGTACTTTCTTTTGAAGGATCATCTGAAGTTGTACTTTCTTTTGAAGGATCATCTGAAGTTGTACTTTCTTTTGAAGGATCATCTGAAGTTGTACTTTCTTTTGAAGGATCATCTGAAGTTGTACTTTCTTTTGAAGGATCATCTGAAGTTGTACTTTCTTTTGAAGGATCATCTGAAGTTGTACTTTCTTTTGAAGGATCATCTGAAGTTGTACTTTCTTTTGAAGGATCATCTGAAGTTGTACTTTCTTTTGAAGGATCATCTGAAGTTGTACTTTCTTTTGAAGGATCATCTGAAGTTGTACTTTCTTTTGAAGGATCATCTGAAGTTGTACTTTCTTTTGAAGGATCATCTGAAGTTGTACTTTCTTTTGAAGGATCATCTGAAGTTGTACTTTCTTTTGAAGGATCATCTGAAGTTGTACTTTCTTTTGAAGGATCATCTGAAGTTGTACTTTCTTTTGAAGGATCATCTGAAGTTGTACTTTCTTTTGAAGGATCATCTGAAGTTGTACTTTCTTTTGAAGGATCATCTGAAGTTGTACTTTCTTTTGAAGGATCATCTGAAGTTGTACTTTCTTTTGAAGGATCATCTGAAGTTGTACTTTCTTTTGAAGGATCATCTGAAGTTGTACTTTCTTTTGAAGGATCTGGTGTTTCACAAGATGGATTGGTGCTGATGGGAAAAAGATTTGGTGATCTTTTTGCAAAATGTTGAACTGACATCATCTTTTTTATTGTATTGATACTGCTGTACATAGTTTCTTTTGCCTGACAACTATGATGTTCGTAATTGAATGATTGTTGTAATCTATAGAATTGCATACAATACTCAACTTATAGGCTGTTTGATCATTTGTGTTCATTAGTATCTTTTCACAGATGTTTTATTTATTGTTGTGGTTTTTTATTTGTAATTGGGCAAAATTGTATGGCTACACACCACAAAATATTGATGCTTACACTTTTATTTTGTTTTATTGCAAGACGTTCATGTACATAGCTTTCCTGGTTCTTCATGTGCATTAAAATACTTTACATACCTGTACCGCCTCCCCAAAAGAAAAAGGGGGGAGGGGGGATGAAATATAATTTTTGTTGATCACTTCTGTATGTAGAGATGATTTGATTACTTATTCTAGCTGAAGTTGAGCTGGAACATACATATTTGTGCTTAGGTACTTTTAGCCCAGCTTATGGAGACCAACATATGTGCATGTTTCTTTCATCTTCTATCATACTTCCTTTTTGTTTGGCCAGTTTAATTAACTATTGTTTTGTATGCTTCCTTTACACCAGCGACATCAAAATACTGCTATTCAGATGTTATGCATGCTTTCCCAGCAAGCTTTGACTTTAAAGGAGAGGCTTTGAGCTCTATTTCTGACCTTTCTTTGTTGGAAATTGTTACTAAAACTCATGGGATGCCAAATGGATATCGAAAGGTTTTGAAGGTAAAGTTCTTTTGAGATTTAGTTGGTAGTATAGGTATAAAACTACTAACCTGGTCTTTGTTTTTGCCATTGTTTACAGGATAGCAAGTGTTTGTACCTTGGAATTGACAACTGTAGACAAGAAAATCTTAAGAATTATTTGATACCACAAGCTATGCTCTAAGGTGGATTGGGACTCGCATAAATGGATTGATGTTGGAAATTGAGGTAAAACAGATGAGCTTATAAGGAAGAAGAAGAGTAGAAGAAGTCATACAGCTCTTCCATTTTACGATAGCAAGAAGCAGTTCTTTGCCTCAAGTGAGTCTTCACGAAAGGCAGCAAGAAATAATAAAGACAGTTCATGATGAGCCACTCATGCCAGGTAATTTTTCCTTTAGTGCTTGTTTGTGTTAATAGTCAATAATGACAGGAAATGTGTGCAACTAATTAGAGCTGTAAGGAGACTGCATCATTCTGCAGAAGCTATCTGGTCAGAGCTTCCATGGATGTCATCCCATCAATGTGATCAATCTTCCACCCCAAGTACTGGTGACAGTGTATTCTCTGATGTAAGGTAATGTTATCAAATTTCTTGGGAGGTTAGGTGTCTTTCTGATATTATCTCAATAAAATATATTATTAGTTACTCACACGACCTGATATTCCTCTCGTCAGGCCAAGTGTGAAAATGAAACTTGTTAACATCTGAATTAGCAAATTACAAGCTCAAGGGGAGTGCACAAGCACACGCGATGGGGAGTCAAAAGAAGGTAAACCATACCTGCTGATGGCTCATAGGCAAACTGATGCTTGCAGCCATGCTGGGTTTCAAAGCTTTTGAGATTCGTATTTTGGCATTGCAAAGTTCAATTTTTTTTGTGTTACTAAATCACCTTTTTGGTGAAACTACACGGCCTTCTACTTTTTTTGAGATTCGTATTTTGGCATTGCACCTTTTTTTGTTTGTACCTTGGAATTGATTATTGTAGACAAGATGTTGGTACAACAATTAATTGCCTATCTGATACAGAGTTGACAGAGTTGACTGTTGTTTGCTAATAAAGAACTTTGTTGGGATTTTTCTCTTTGCAGTCATTGTTCGTGATGTATTTTACAACCAACCAGTTCCAAGGAAGCAAATGTACTCCAAGTATTTCTAGTTTTCTCACAATTCAAACAAATAAAAAATATTGATTTACTTACTTTACTTCTAAAGCTATACTCTGTCCTGAATGATCGTTTGGTTTGCATATATAATCTGGAAGCCCAAAGAGGGCCTTGCATTCTCTGAAGAGTCTCTGCTAAGAATTGCCCTTGTGCATCCCAATGTCTGCTTCAAAATTGTTGATATTGAAAGGTCTGTCTCTGCTATACCAGCTAAGGATATTTCCTATCTGGTTTCTTAGATTTCATTTGCATGCCGTGAGGATGACTGCTTTGCACCTTCTCCATCCCCATTGCCGCTATTGTCCAGTGGATTTGGGATTCATCTGAGTTCCCTTAATAAATTGAATGCAAGCGATGGTTCATTCAAGCTCTAAGGATACATCTCAGGTCCTGATATTTACACAGAGAAGGTATGCCGGCCCAAATTGATGGATAAGAGATGTGATAAGTTTATCTTTTCTACACTTTTTAATTTCCCGAAATACCACTGTTTAATTTGCAGGTCCTTCAATATTTCTGTATCCACTTATTTCAGTATATTTTTTTGACCAAAGAAAACAGAAAACTAAACTTCGGTTAACTTTTACTATATTGGATGCTTGTTTTTTACGGTGTTTTTGTTTTCCTTGACCCTCGTAATGCAGATATCTATTCAAGATTTGTTTCCAAAGGACCAATACATAAATTACCTAATAACATAGCGATGAGTTCTGACAGTGTTTCTGACATTGAGCAGCAAAGTAGATCTCAGATATATCCACTGTTTTTGTTTAACCTAAACTGCCCAAGATCTTTATATGATTTGACTTCTGGAGCCTTCAAAGACCTCTGTGGAATATAAGGTGAGATTTTGTGTTGGCGTTTATAATTTAGTTGTTTGGGGTTTGGGAAATGAGTCTGAGACGTTGGATTTATTTTTGTAGAATTGAGTTTGTTCTTCTCATTGCACGAAAACTTCATGCTTTTTCAACCACCATCAAGAATATTCTTAGTTATAATCCTCAGATAACCAATACAGATATTACTCAATTCCAAAGCAGAGTTAATGTTCCCTTCTCATATAGCTGTGTTGATGGGAAATTCATTGGCCATCAGTTTGGTGTGCAGGTCAAGACTAGTACTACTTATCCGAGAATCGCTCGTCTTTATTTTTGGAACCTTACAACAGTTGAAAAGTTGCAGGAGTCTTAACAGTTATGATCCTGACAATGTTCCTGCAAATGCTATAGTAAATATTATGGTGAAGTGCTCTTGTGGGGATAGTCATGTTTCAAAAGATTATGGACAATTTATAACTTATCGTCTTCGGCCTGACCAGAATTTGGTTACAGTAGCCAATGAATTTAATCTACCACAGAAGTTGTTGGAAGACTATAATCCTTGAAGCAAATCTCGGTAGGGGAAGTAGTCTGGTTTTCAACATCCTGAAGCAGTGCTTCATATGTATGATATATTGGATAGGATTTAGATATGAACATAACAAACATCAATATAATCACAATACACATGAGTTTCAGTTCTGAATGATAAAGTAGTCTGAACTATGAAGTTCAAAATGGGCAGTCATGAATGAAGGTTAAAGAACATATGATTTCATTGGAGTAATGTCATCGATGCCTGGATTTCTTCAAGTGTCCGTCCCTTCGTCTCTGGTACCAACATTGCAACGAATACAACAACCGAGCCACAAAAGAATGCAAACAAGAAGAATGTTCCTGCAAGTTACAACAGGATTTAATAAATCACTGAACCATCAAACAAGCTTAAGGAACAGATGGAGAGTGCCATTACCTGCTGCATTCCACTCGAATAGGAAATTAAAAGAATAACCAACTATCCAGGAAGTAAAACAGTTGATCAATGTCACAAGACTTCCAGCAGAACCCTTGATGTTTATCGGAAGTATCTGAAACAGAGATTGACCTTATGGTTTGTCTGAATCTGTATAACATATATATTTGAATTTGACATCTTAAAGACGCACCTCTGACATGATGATCCAGGGTGTACCTCCCATTCCCATTGTGAAAGATACAGAAAAGAGCTGTTTACAGAATATGGAGGTGGAATGAGAATGTAAGGGGCTTTGGCAAGCTATAGGTGTTTGAAACAGTAAGGAGATGAATAAAAAAATAAAGGATGTTGTTTTCACAAACCAGTATGCCAGTGTACACCATTGAAGAGGTTAGCTCTGTTGATAGATGATAACCCTGTTCATGGTAAAGCAGAATATCCGATAAAAGAAGCATCAGAACAACATTAATGTGTGGCAAAAGCAGATGCAAAACTGAAGAAGTTGATTCCTATATATATATCACCAAGTTTAGCACCTTGAAAAGAAAGCCCAATGCTACAAGCAAGCATCCTAAGCAAGTCCCAGCCGAAGTAACCTGAAAACAAAGTGTTGAGGCTTATTAAAATTGTACTTTATTGGCAAAGGGACATGAACCTACAGTCATTAACCTTACCAGCATAAGAAGTCGTCTTCCAGCTTTTTCTGTAAGGATAATACTTGTGACAGCAAATGGAAGCTGAAATGAAGAACGATTATTTGAGCGTGTTTTTTAACAGTCTTATATTAAACTGGAGTGGCAAGAGTTGAGAACCTGGAGAACAGCCATGACTTGAGATCCTGATTCTGCCGAACAACCTTGTAAAATGATCTTAACTTTTAGATGTATCCCTATAAACAAAAGGCTGTCAACTTAAAACAGAAGTTTATTTCTGAGCGTTCTTACCAGCTGCTCTAAAAATTGAACTGGCAAAAGAAGTTATTGCATTATTCCCTCCTAACTGCACGAGAGCCATTAACCCGACTCCAATCTAATAATATTGAATATCGGCAGAAGTTTCAGACATATCATCCAAACTCTTAAAGTGTTCCAACCATCCAAACTCTTAAAGTGTTCCAACTCTGGGTTATACGTAAAGCTTACAATCAGTGGACGAGCATATTTCCTACTGAACAAATCCATAAATGTGGATCCTGAGTGTCGCTGAACTGTTTCGGTAAAGTCCTGTTAAATAGAGGAGAGATTTCAGTCCTAATTGCTCTTCTGGAACTAGACTTCAACAGAGAAATAAGAAAGAGACAAACAGGTAAACAACACTGCCAGATTACACATTTTAGATCAATTTGTTACTTTTATTTCAGCTGCTTCAGTGGAAATATCTGCATTTTCTCCTCTCAGACGTTGTAGTGATGCTTCTACCTCCTTCTCCAGACCAATTTTCGACTGTCAATAGAACAGCATATTTCCCTTTATCTTTCTTTTTGAAATAGTCATAGCACAATGATTAGTTAATTACTAACTCACCAACCACCGAGGAGATTCCGGTATGAAGAATACACCTAGCACCTGTATAAAGCTAGGGGTAGCACCTGGAAGTTCAACCAATTTCAAGAAATGGAAACCTCTATATAATCAGGCATCTTCTTTTTGAAATTCACTTTGCAGTAACTGTTGAATGCATTGTATCATTACCTACAAGAGCTAAAGTGCGCCAGCTCATGTTATTCCCAATGTAATACACCAGTGAGAAGCCAAGAGTCAGCGTACACTGCAAAAACATCAAGGCTTATACAGAGAGAAAATGAGTTCTACTAACCAATCAAAATCAACAAAGTTTTTTATTTACTGAAGCAGCTGCTACAAAGCTCCCTCGGATATTTTTGGGCGTGACCTCTGAAATGTATATAGGTCCCTGTTTGAAATTTAATTCAGGTGCATCAGACCTTTTTTGGTTCAACGGACGGAAAAAGTTATCCAAAAAATGTAAAAGAAATTACCACATATAAATAGATTCCTGCACCAACTCCCATCACCAACCTTCCAGCATCAAGCCACCAAGCTCTCTTTCAACAAGCACAAACTCGTAAGTTGAACCAGATAATAATTATGGTTATTTGCTTTGCACGGTTACATGGCCTGACTGGAAGCAATAAAGGGAGGGGGGAGAGAGTGCGCACACACACACGGAAATAGAGGAGAAAAGTTATTTCCCTGTGTATTTGAGATAAAAGACATTCTCTGTACCTTGCCAAAGGTTATTGAACACCAGCCCATGATAAAAAATAAATCCGAAAGCCATATTGTCTGTATTAATTATAAACCAAATTAGAGACTATAAAAGTTGTTTCAGGTTCAGTGACTTTTTTATAAGTAAAGCTTCAATAAATTAAGGAAAAGAGACTTACAGCTCTCCTGCCAAAAATATCAGCCACCTTTCCACTTATCAGAGCCCCAATCATTCCTCCAAATATCATGATTGAAGCAAAAACTGAGTACTATACAAAAAGAATAAATCAGACTATGAAATTTCTCCTGATGAAAAATGCATTTTGTTTGGCTAGCAGCTAATGGGACCTCTGTGAGGATCATGAGTTCACTTACAAAATGTACATTCACATAAATGAAAAAGGAACACCTAGATAAAGAAACCGGAGTAACTGAGAGAGAGAGATCATGTTAATATTGATACTGACAGTAGAGTCTAACATGGCATAGCTCCCAAAGACCTGTAAATTTTCCTCCAGGGGAGTTTTTTCCTTGCTCTTGCATTCACTACGAAAGCTTGTTAAGAACCTAATAGGTACGTTTTGTGAACAACAAAGCATATCTTATCCTCTTCATGTAAAATAATGGAAGCTTTTAACAAACAATTTTCATCATTGCTAAGAGAACCACGGAACTTATGTGTATCAAGCAACTAGGATAAGGAACTCTTTAATTTATCCAAAAGAAAAAGAAGAGTCTGGACCTCTTTAAACCCTACAATATCTAAGATCTCAGGTCAGTGTGAGAAAAGCTGATCAGTTCAGTGTGAGAGAGCTGTTTTGCCATTTCTGTACACACGAAAAAGGGTTGTAAAATACTTACTTCTGCTATAGAGAGTCCCAGGTCATCCATGATCCCTGATTGAGCAGGAGATGAATATCCAGCCTGAAAAGGACACACAGACAGCAAGCTATCAGTGGCAACCCTTTAGCCTAATCTCCTGAGATCATTAAACATTACACTAGAGTGCAATCTCAAGTATGCTCATTTGAGAAATATGTTATAGTGCTTAAGAACATATATGCATGTGTCTATTTTAAATACATTCAAGAGATACAAGATTTGTTCGCATAGATATGTGGAAATAAAAACATGTCCCGAAGACTCTTGGATCTCACAAGGAACCAAATCTTATGCATTTCTCACAAAATGGATGCTTAATTCAGTCTTATCCAAAGTTGAAGAATGATGTTCCTTCATTATCCTCATAATATGAATTAACACACCTCAAAATCTCATGCATTCCTCGCACCTTGACAAGTAATACTTACAGCAAATCCATAGGCAAAGTAACCACAGGCAGCAACTGAGGTGCTCAAAACAAGATTTGTTGTAACATGGAATTGCCGACTGGATTTTCTGAGACTACTCTCATCTAACAAACCATCTTCCATGCTTCCAGTCATAGTATGTTGCTACCTGGAGAAAAAAGTAAGAGACCGTTAAGAATGAAACTAGAAGTTTAGAATATATACAATACTTCATGAGAGAGGTATAAAACATATTCTGGTGATAGTTTGACATGGTCAATATTAGTCTAAGCAAATACACAGTACATCAGGCTAAGAGTTTCAGAGATTCAAGAATTAAGCCTTAAAGGAACATAAGATATAAAACTGATGTCTGTCTTTTAGCTACGAGAAGTCACACGTAATATTGGACAGTTGGACAGGGGCAATATTGGAAAACAAATAGCAATGCTTCAACAATCATTTCTCCAGTAACTCATCCAGAAAAAGCATACTATGTCCTGTTGCTAAAGCACAAATGCAGCAAGTTGCTATCAATATGTCAATTTTAACCACTAAGGCTCTTCAATATGTTTGGAGATGTGTATATCAATAGGAATAGTAAGAGAACTCTTAGTGGTTAAAATTGACAGTGATGATTTATATAGTCGACCCCAAATAGTTTTGAATTGAGACATAATAGTAGTTGTTTTTGAACATTTACTAAAGAACACAAAATAAGGTAAAACACAAGAACTTCATAGACCAATCAGCTTAAAACCAAGTAAAAGGAGTACTATGGAGCTGCTATTCAAACATATGGTTCCACTATTAACAACAATACTGGGTCTTCTTGGGAGCTTCAGTACATGCGCTCAGAATCTAGAAATAACAAAGTTATCATATAGTAGGTGAATTGCTTATAAATTCTATAACTCAGAGAAGAAATTTTGAAGAGTAGGTAAGTTAGAGGAAACCTTGTTGAAGGTTTTAAGATAATGCCACTATTCCAACACCAAAAGCAGGCTAAAGGGAGTGTCAAGTGGATCCCGCAACACCTTGTTTGGAATATGTATTGAGTATTGTATGGCTAGTTTAATTATAATTTTTTTTTTAATTGTTACTTAAATTTTATTATATCGGATTATTTAAATTTATCATAACGTTACAACGAAAAGTCTCATTTTATGTAACGATCAATTTGATGTGAACATATTTTCATCTCATGTTATCTTATAATTCTACTTTATCATTTACTTATATTCATTAAAATAATACAGTACAATACAAATACCTAAGGTAAAACACAACAACTTCAGAGACCAATAAAATTAAAGGCGAGTAAAGGAGTACTATGGAGCTGTTATTCGAACAGGTAGTTCCACTATTAACAATGATACTGGGTCGTCTAGGTAGCTTCAGTCCTCATAAATATCCATAAACTGAGAACCCCAAGGCAGAAAACTTCCAAAAAAAGAAAAACATTATCCATAAATATGTCCTTTTAACTTAGCTTCAACTGATATTTATGTCATTTAACTTTGGATATGCACAAGTAATAATTTAAATTTGTATAAAATTGAACAAACTACATGGCATTCTACGTGTATTATGCCACATAGAATACGTGTATCTACTTGTTCAATTTTATACAAGTTTAAAGGGGTCGTTTGGTTGGGAACAAGTTATCCCAAACATGACAAGAAAATTTTATCCCATCACTATTTATTTTTATCTCTCACACCAAACGACACGCAAGTGTATACTTGATCATGAATGGAGGGCATAAATGTTGCTGAAGCCATAAATGGCATACTTATGTATTATGCCAAAAAAAAGGAAAACAGTTGCTTTCAAGTCTGGATCACAAAACAGCACCGAATTCTTTCATGTTAAGAACATAAATAAAAGTAGATACCAGCTACATGTTGATTCTCGAATAGCAAATAGACAGAAACATGTATTTCTTAAAAATATGCTCAAAATCTAGAAAAAAACTTGAAGTTGTAAAATTGTAAAAGGCAGGGGAATTTTTTTTGAAGAGTAGGTAAGTTAGAGGAAACCTTTGTTGAAGGTGATTTGAAGAATTCGCAATATTGCAGTCCCAAAAACAGGGAAAAGAGCATTTAATTTGCAGTCTGCAGATAGAAATATTTAAGCAATAATTGGTACGGCCCACCATAAATAAGAAAAGAGACCCCATAAAATGAAATGATGATCATATTCATGAGGATAAATTTCTACTTTATAAAGAATTTAAATTTCGAATTATGATATAAAATTGAAGTTGAAGTTCCACATTTCATACACATACGCTGATTTTAAATCAAACTTTTATATTTGAACCACAGATTATATATGGTTAAACACCTTCTAATAATTTCATCGTATGATATATAATAGCATATATATATATACAATATTACTTTTAACCAAAGAACCCTTTCACTCCTTTCTAGCTTCACCCCTAGGTAGATCTTACTCTTATCTTATGAAAGTAAAGATGTTATTTTCAAAAATAATAAAAAGACATATAAAATCTTTAATTCACAATCTAAATAAATAACTTAGGATATTTTAATAGTTATTCCATCTTGTTAATGAGAGTTTGATTCCTCATCTTGTAATATCCTAATTTATTCCCCCCTCTCCTCAATTTTTCAAAAGAATAAATAATTAAAAACCATCAAAACCTTTTTTAAAAAAAAAGTTAATTAGAATTTCATTATTGCTTCTAAAAAGAAATTTAGTGGCCGGTGAGTCACTTCTCGTCTTTTTCCTTCGTTTTTAGTTTAATGGATATCTAGACGTACCCTACCAAATAGGTAACGACGTAACGTATAAGGACGAGGAACGTTTTTTTAATGTTTTAAGCTAAAAACAATAAATAATACTAGTAATTATTTTCAATATTGACTTCTCCTCTTTCAGTCATATTTTATTAGCTTCTTCTTTTTCTCCACAAATTTAATAAGATACTGCCAATCACAAAAACTACAATCCTAATTTATTGAAAGATACTTCACTAGATTCCTAACAGGAATTATTCCATATTAATTACTAATCTATGTTATATATTTTGTTGAATAAGTAGTTAATTAGAAAGTACTTTAAACATACTAAGCTAACTCGTATCTTGAATCAATAAAGGAGTTATAAAGTTTGATTAAGTTGAAATAAATTGGGTTAACATGTATCAAAGAATGCGTTTTTTTTTTATTTGTATGTCTTTATTTATTTTTTAACCAATAGAATTGAGTTGTAAATAGTTATTAATTTATTATGATACATTAAGTAAAGTTGTGTCATACATTTGGAACTATTTTATATGTGTATTTTTTAATTTTTCGACAACTCTTTTTTTATCACGTGTAAGTTTTATTTACTTTTAGTTATATAGTCCACGCGGATCCAATAATATGTATAACGTTGACCCTTAAATTATTTTCAACTATTTTGCGCTTGAAATTGAGTAAGAAAGAATTATCATTTGATTTGGTGGCTGCTTATTAAGAAGTGTTGAGTTTAGTGTTTTTCTTTTTTGCTCTAAAAATCAGGTGTTACGTCGTTAAAAAGTGATCGCATATATCACTTTTTGACTTGAATGATTTTTTGAGTGAAGTATCAATAAGTAAATAATTTTTTTTACTCTAAAAATCAAGTGTCACATTATTAAGAAGTGATCACTTTCGACTTGAATGATTGTTCGAGTGAAATACAAAAAGATCGGTGATTATTTTGACATAAAAGAATAAGAAATGAAATAACTAAAGACATGATTTTTTTTTTAATATACAAATATGAAAGAAAAGTAACTTTGTTCACCTTTTAAAAAAAAAAATAGAAATCCAATGACCAATAAATCACAAAATGATGATTTAACTTCTTTTTTTCTTGAAAGAAAAATGACTACTCCTTCCATCCTAATATTAGATCTATTTTACACAATAATTAAGAAATTATTGATAAATTAATCAATTTTACTATTTTGTCCTTTGTTAATATCAATACACATAAACACAAGTTAGAAAAAATATACATAGTGTATAGGAATAGCTAGTATTGGAAATTGTACACATTGAAAAGACCATATTAATTATACGGGTAAAATAGAAAAAATATAATTAATTCTATCTTAATTTAGTAAGTAATCAAATAATATGAGACAACTATTTTAGTAAGATGTTCGTCTAATATAGGACGAACGGAGTATCAGTTAAGCAGTGTCAAGGATGCTTGGATTTCTTCAAGTGTCCGACCTTTCGTCTCTGGTACTATCTTTGCAACAAATAGGATCATCAACCCGGAAAAAAATGTGAACATGAAGAACACACCTGGTAATTAAATTAAAATGTTTAACCTTGAACAACAAACAAACACGACGATTCGAGCAATTCTAGATAGATGCATACATACCTGAAGGGCTCCATTCAAATAAGAAGTTAAAAGCATATGTGACAATCCAAGAAGTAAACCAATTGCATACAATTGCTAGACTTCCAGCTGATCCCTTTATGTTCATAGGAAATATCTGATATGGTAATGAGTACTAGTCAGTAAATATAGTACTCGAAAAGGTTCGAGTTGTGTAATGTGTGTGTATATATGGAGATTGAGGGCTAGTAGCTGACCTCTGAAACGATTGTAGTAGCTGCACCACCTACACCCATTGAGTAGAATATAGCAAATACCTGTTAACAAATCAGCAATGCACGAATCATTTAGTTTGTTGACGTGTTACTTTTGTAGTTGTAAATGGATTTACTGGACAATTTGAGCTACAAATTGGTAAAATACAAGAAAATGAAGTTGTGGAACAGAGTGTGAAGAACAAACCAGTATGCCAACTAACACAAATGTGGCAGAGAGCTGACTCATATGATCATAATCCTGACAGGAATAATGTGCAAATTGATAAGTCTAGCAAGTGAAATTGTTGTCATATTATGTAAAGGTTGGGGGGAAGGGACAAGGGTGTGTTGACTGTTGAGTACCTTACACAAAAAGCCTACACCTACAAGAAAGTTTCCTAAGCATGTCCCAGCAGACGCGACCTGAAACCATTTCGTTTTGCTTCAAGTATATATCTCACTATGGATTCGTAAAATTTAACACATCAATAGGCATGCTGATTTCTAACCATCAGAACAGGCCGTCTTCCAGCAGCATCCAGTAAGAATATCCCCATAGCAGCAAAAGGAAGCTGAAAGAGAAGTATGAATAAATGAAAGTATGAGATCCTGTTTTAGCAACAGTTCTGAGTCAAATTGTAATTTCAGGAGTCAAAACCTGGATGAATCCCATTGTTGTAGTTGCAAAACTAGCTGAGCAACCTTTTTAAAAAAAGCAAAATATTTGTGTCAAATGCTATAGAAGTATAATTCATGTTACAAACGGTCTATGAGGTGCTAACCAGCTTTTATGAAAATGGAACTAGCGAAAGATGAAATTGCATCAGTTCCTCCAGACTGCAACAACATCATAATTCCCAATCCTACCTAATAAAATTAACATAGCAAGAGGAAGATCAATAAGTGATGAAAAATGGAAAAATACAGTGCTTATAAGAGAGATGCATATCTATGCACTTTATATTTATATACTCCGTATCTTATAATGCTTACAATGAGTGAATGAGCATATCTACGGTCAAACATATCCAGATATCTCGATCCTGAAAGCTTCGTAAGTGACTCCACGTTGTCCTGTGAAGATGTTTCATTTCAATTACACGATGTAATATGGATAGAAGATTGTTTAATCAGGAAAGATAATAAGTTCATTGTACATATTAAGATAGCTAGTAGTAAGACATTTAGAAGCAAGTTACCTTAATTTCAGCTGTTTCTAAAGAAATATCAACATTTTTTCCTCTCAGATATTGTAGAGATGCTTCTACTTCTTTGTCCAGACCGATTTTGGCCTGCAAACAATTCAATAGGTAAATTAGGAATCCAACTACTCCAGAAACATCAGTATAGAAAATAAAACAAATTCCAGTCCCTTTCTTCAAATGAAAGGGGAATATGGAAAAAATATAAAAGTGAACAACAGACCATAACTAAGGCATCAAGCATGTTTGTTAATCAAAGTACTATGACTCCTTTCTTTTCTTAAGTGTCCCAGACTGTATCTCTTATGTATTATTTTTACGGTATAATTTGAGAATATAGCATCGAGAGATGACAGGGACTATAATACACCAAGCAGGAAGTACTGATATTAGTTGGTCTGGGAAACTTTTGCTTATTTTTATGTCCAAAGCTGCTTCTTTGGACAGGGAAAATGCCACTACATGTAATTGTTAGAAGTTAATACTCCACTCACCAACCATCTTGGAGATTCTGGTATGAAGAATATGCCTATTAACTGCACCAAAGAGGGTATAATTCCTGAAACAAAGAAGTCCAAAGACGGTAAATCGGTTCTTCTCTGCAGCTCCGTCTCTTTCTGTGTCTAGCTTTGCAAACATGATTATAAAGAAGTAAATATAATATAGGAAGCACTCTACCTACTATAGCCAAGGTGCGCCAAGGCAGGATATTGCCAATCAGAAACATCAGTGCAAAACCAAAATATACCATGAACTGCAAAAGATAGCAGTTTTAGATATGCAAGATTTGAACACTTCTGAGTCGCAGAAAATAATGGTTTCTCATTTACCGCAAATGCAGCTGTGCATCCACCTCGAATACTCTTTGGCGCGATTTCTGCAATGTATATAGGAGCCTGCATCATGATTTGAACTCTGCTCTTAATATGCTTTACACAGGAAGAAAACTGAAAAATGCTTTGTAATTTAGCTACTTACCACGTAAAGGAGCAGTCCAGCTCCTATTCCCATTAGAAATCTTCCAATATCAAGCCACCACACACTCTTGAAACAAAAAAAAAAAATTATCAGTGAGTTGAACTCGGAAAACAGACTCAATCCCCTTCTTCAGACACTTAAGATGGCATATTATTTGAAAGAGTTCTCTCCAATTTAGTTTGATATTTTCTATCTACTTTAAAAAACCATTTTCCCTCCTACTAAATTACAACAATTCTTTTTCCTTAGTCATCCATATCTTGCTTGATAACAATGTTTATATGTGTATTGAGAAGACATTGCCTATTAGTATTATAAAAGATACTATTAAGATGTATAAGGCCAAGAACAATCAATAACATTCACACAAATTGAGATTTGGCCGTAGAAGGATCGAATTGTATCCGAAGAACAGGGGGATAAGAAGAAGTGTTGGTGTTTTTTAAAAATGGGGCAGCACAAAAAGAATAAAAATGTCTCTCAATGGATTGAAATGACTTTCAATAGCTTTCAATAATTTTATTAAGCATTGATGGGCTTTAAATAGCCAACATAAAACATATAATCTGCATAATTTAAAATTTTAACAACCTAAAATATCTCAACAACATAAACAAACTAACTAAAATTCAAAATTCAAATTTAATTCAAACTAAATAACTTATTTTGCTAAAAGTTACTGCAGTAACTAAAAGCAAACTTCAACAAGAAGTCAAGGATGAGCATTCAATTACATACCTTTGCAAAAATTATAGATAGCCATCCCAGTATGAAACAAAGATCCATAATCCACATTGTCTATATTAAAACATAAACCAGATAGGGAGTTCTCTAATTAGTGTATATAATTTTGAATAGTAAATGAGGAGGGAAAGACGAGCATTGAAAGAGAAACGTACTACTTTCCGTCCAACCATATCTGCAATAGTGCCACTCACTAAGGCACCTATAGTTCCACCAAGTGTCAGAATAGCTCCAAATGTTGAATACTGTAGAACAAGAAAAAAGTCAGCACAAACGGATGTGTTACATATTAGATATCAGAGCCCCAAAGCTCTAACTAATAGACTTCAGTAACATTAGCAGGCATTGTAGCACTTAATTATTGCATAGTTTACAAAACCATCGACTCCTCAAACATGTACTTTGAAGAGAGACACCAAGCCACCCCTACACAGTCACGGAATTAACCATTGCCAGTGCATGTTAGTTGCCTATTGCTGCCTCCAATTGTCACTACAACAATCACACCCAAACACTCCAATTATATATAAGGGAAATGCAGATTTAAGTGTACTCTTACCTCTGCAATGGACAACCCCAGGTCAGCCATGATACCTGACTGGACAGGAGAAGTGTAGCCAACCTATAACGCAATCATCACATTAAAAATAAAATTCATCAAACACCTTAATTAAGTAAATCATCCCAAAATAAAGATTTACTTATCTAAGACAGAGAAAAAAACAAATAATATAAAGAGGAGTAAATCATATTTACTGCTCCAATTCTATATTACAGTACATTTGCTAATTTATTCTTGTATTATTGTTAACTCCAAATCCACAACTCTCTGATTCTATGTATACGCTGACAGTCTAAAGAATTTTTCCTAACTTTTGAGTTTTTCTCATTGCGCCTTGAAAGCCTATTATACTTACAGCAAATCCATAAGCCAAGGAACCACACATAACAACACAAGTGCTTAGAACAAGAGGCGTTGAACAGGAGGTGCCAACAGGGAACTTGTTTCCTTTACTACTTAAAAGTTGATCTTCCATGTTGCCTGTCTTGCTATTTGGTAAGATAGCTGTTTGGGAAAAAAGAGTTAATTCAAACCAAAGAATACAATGACACAAAAATCAGATTTTGTAAAAGGCTTAAGTCATCTGTGCCCTTAAAGTTGTTCGCATAATTCATTTAAAAACCTCAACTGAAACTCTTACCTATTAAGATACTTTAATATTAACGAATATTTATCTATTTAACATAAAATGACCACTAGCATTAAAAATATTGTGCGTGTAATTCACACACATTATCTTGACAAAATCACGAATAAAATTACGACACCTGGCACATGGGCCCATAATTTTAATTTTGAAAAATAAAAATAAAAAATAATTTTCAGCCTTTAATAATATAGAAAATTAAATTGATAAAAAAAAATCTCCCCCGTCACCCACCTAACCCCCCACCCCATCTAACCCATTGCCCTTTCTCCTTCGTCTTCTTCTCTGTCACTCCGCCATTGCCATCCACCATCGATTTCTCCGGCGATAACAAAAAAAAAAATAATCTCCCCCACTCCTTCCTGAATACACCCACCAAATCCTTTCCTCTTTCTTTTTCTTGCCGTGTTACTCAAAACAAGAATAATCGACATCGATAAATTATTTTGAAATTGAAAACGAAGAGAAATTAGAATTATAGCAAAAAAATTTATAACATTTTTAATAAGTTAAATGAATGGTGATGGTTGCTCGATCAGAGTTATTGAAAATAAAGATGTACAAATATTGATCAACTTTTTAACTCCAATGGTCGATTTTTTTTCTTCTTATTGCAAATTCAACAGGCAGTTTGTTTACCGAAAATGAAGAAAAAAAAAAAGCCAAAACAAAAGACAGAAATTTGAAGTCTTGAAAATGATGGGTTGATCATGGGTGTGAGGGTGGTTTTTTTTTTTATGAATTAAAAGATTAATGTTTAATTAAATTAATTTTTCATTTATTTTGTCAATGCATGCCAAGTGTCAAGAAAGTAGGTACAAATAAAAAAAAAATGTATTCATGCGCTCATCAGCAATGAGATACACTTATTTTGCCACATCAACGTTTTGTGTTTAATAGATACATGTCTTGAACAATTTAGGTGTTCAATAAGTACAAGTCTTAGTTCAGATGTCCAAGTGAATTATGCGGACAACTTTAAAGGGTCGTGGATGACTTAAACCTTTGTAAAAAGAGTATTATTTTATTGGCTTAAGTCATATGCGGCCCTCTAAAGTTGTCTGCATAATTCACTTAGACACCTCAACTATGACTAGTACCTATTAGACACTCTAATATTAAGGAATATGTACTTATTGAACACAAAACGATAATAAAGCTTTTAAAATGTGGCGTGTGTAATTCACGCACATTGTCTTAGAAAAGTAACCAATAAGACTTCAACATATGGCACATGGCCCAATCTAATGAATTTTCATTTATTTTTAATTCCAACCTTTAATAATTCAAAAAATTGATTAACAAAAAGTCTCCTCCCCCAACCCCCCACAGGAACCCACCCACTTCTCTTCTTCTTCCCCTAATGTCGACACCTCCTGCGGCAACAGCAACAAAAAAGAAAGAAAAAAACAAATCTCTCCCCACCCATCTAATAATTTGCCCTTATTCTTCTTCATCCGTTGTCCCCCACTATTTTCTATTCCTCCGAAGAGATTAACTCTTATCTTATGAGCTATGGAAATTAAGTCAAATACAAATAATGAAATAAATTATGAAGCATGATAGATTAATGGAGTGATTATTGTGAAAAATAAATTGACTTGATAAATTATTTTGAAATTGATGACGAAGAGAAATAGTGAGGATTCAAATGAATTATATCAAATTTTCTGATATTATTTTATAACTTTAATGGCTGGTGATGTTTGTTGATCGAAGTGACCGGAAATAGAGATGGATGGAAGTTTCCTTTATAACTTTGATGTCCAATTATTTTTTTCATTCTTGCAAATTCGATTATCACTTGACAGATTCAGTTTTTTTTTTTATATATAAAAAGCGAAAAATAAAAATGAAGAACCAAAACAGAGTTTAAAATGATTAAAATGGGGCGAAGAAGAAGACAGCCGCTGGTATAGCCTACAGGGGTGTTTTCTTTTTGGATATTATAAGACATCATTTTGAATAAAAATTTATTTTTAGTTATTTTAATTAATGCAATGCCAAGTGTCATAAGAAGAAAAAGGTACAAGTTTATTATTAATAAAAAAAAGTTTGGGACTTGTTCACGCTCTTCAATGCAGTGAGATGCACTTATTTTACCACATCAGCATTTTGTACTTAATAGACACATGTTTTGAATATTTTAGATGTCCAATAGGTACAAGTCATAATTGAGATGTTTAAGTGAATTATGAGGACAATTTTATGAAGACGTGAATGACTTAAGCCTATTTTATTTCATATAAATAGAAGTCCACCCATAGTTTATGTACATACTTTTTAGAATTGTGTTATTTAGCGAAAACGGTAGATTTCCATTCCATTAAATACGTTTTTTTTCCGCATCTGTAAGAGTTGAAAAGTTTTTGGAAATGAAAGAGCATGAGAAATCAACATCAGTAGCTGTAGAAGCGATGACTTATTGGATACCTCATTTAGCTAGATAATTAATGTAAGATGTTGAGAGGTGGACTTGCCATAATTGACACTCAAAATAATTGATGATACTTTATCTCAATGTCACACAAAATAGCTGAACATATTTTCAAAACAATAATAGAACAGAGGAAACCTCAAATTAACAATATTCCAAATTATTACTCCTATGTTCCTTTTTTAGTTGTTATGTTGCGTTTTTCAAAAGTTAATTTGACTAATTTTAGATTACATTAATTCAATTTTTTAAACTAAAAATTTAGATATTCAAAAGTTATATGAAAAAGTACTATAAATTGTAAAAAAAAATTGCATATCAATATGATGAACAAATACATCCTAAAATGTTAGTCAAAGATCTTATCGTTTTAACCCTAAAAAGGGGAATTATGATAATTAAAAAAGAACGTATGAAACAAAAGTTGATAAACTCAAGCAAATACTTACCTTATATGAAATACAAAAAGGACGGGAAGTTGAATCAATTGCATTCATGGGCTATAACTAGTTTCTGCTAGGGTTGGTAAAATTAGCTAATATTATGATCCATCCAACTGATTGCTTGGCCCATTTCAAATCAAGTAAAATAAATGTATTTATTAATTTTAACTCATATAATTTGAGCTCATTTGATATCCCCACATCATACTAACAAATAAAAACGGCTAGTCTACCCAACCCAAAACATTGAAAACTATAACAACCATACCTAAAAATCATGATATTTCAGCAAAATGTGAATCATAAGCACCTAATTAACTCCTTGAATTTGATGGAATCATTGAAGATTATATATTACTCCATTTAACCTTAAGATCACCATCCATCAGAATCTTTCTCCTGTTACTCTCAGAAGTCCAAAGTCTAAACCCATCCCATCTTCTAGTTTTGATTTTTTTCTCCACTTGTATCGATATTCGGATTGAGACCTGACTAATTTGAATTTACACGAGAAAGCCTCATTCGAATTGAGAATTAGTTATTGTTGTACTTGTAGGAATACGTAATTATTATACCACCAGAACCATACTACATTTAAAAGCTAGTAATAAATGAGGTCTTTTTCTTGTAGATCTTCTTTGACTGTACTACATTTCCTCTTATATTTATGATAAACACTGTAACTTTCTTGAAGATCTTGTTAACTATTATGAGAATCATTTCAGTTAATATATACAAGTACTCATGTAAATTCAAATGATGTAATTGGAGAGAATTAGTGAAAGAACTACTTGATTAATTAAAAAATGGCCAGGGATTAAAATCAAAGAAAAGCTGAAATAATGTATAACAATACATTTCTATAAAACCGGGCTAATAATAAATTTGAAGCTAAAACAAATATTTTGGGAGTATGAAGTATAACAAATATTTATTTGAAATTCAAGGATGAAAGACAATTTTATGCGCTAAACTTGGCGATCCGAACCACCTGTCCTGAACTAAGCGTGCACGTTATCACGTAGAAGTTCTCCAAGAATTTGGTTAAGAGGCAATTATTGATCCTAACTTTGACTTGGACATTTTTCAAATAATTTGGCTGAACAGGGCAACTAGCCTAACTAATTAATAAGAAATTTTTGACAGATCAGCTAGAATTCATTACTTTTCATCACGAGTCGATTCAATAAGACAGTTTTAAACAATCATCAATTATTCGATTGTAATGTTTTATAATTCTTATTAATTATTTGACTTTTTTTTCCTTATATTATGAAGTAGTATTCTTATAGGGTTTTGACAATCATGATGTAATGATAATAATTGTGAATTTTTTTTTTCTTGTTTTATGTTTAATATAATTTATGGAGTTTGAATTAAATTGTGGAGTTAACCATTAATTTATCTAATCGAAAGAAGAATAATTTAATGGATATATTTTACTCCTTATTTCTTCCAAGTAATCAAAAGAGCTTTTTTGAAATCATAGAGTGAATGATCAAGAGAAATAAACATTATTATAGCATACTAACATTCAATCATTCGCTGACTTTCACATATAACAAACACAAAAATTATTTATATGTTATAGCTATAAATTGCATAATTGTGCTCCATAACAAATTTTATGTTTGCTATGAAGCTTTTGATTTGTATAATTCGTTGGATACATTCAATTTTATACAAATTGTTCAGTTATGTATAAATTCAGTTATACATTGTAATTTGTATAATAAGATCTGTATTTATATAATTATAAGTGTATAGGAAGAAAATATATGTATTTGTATTTGTATATACATTTTTCTCTCGCTTTATGTACACAAACACATTTTATACCGAAATGTATAAAATGGCTAATTGTATACCGTAAATGGCTAATTGTATAACAAATCAGATGGCGAAAAAATGGGATGTTTGTTGCGAATTACAAATAAAATAAACTATAGCCATAGTATTTAATTTGAATTAATCGTTTGCTATTTCAAACAATTTTTCCTTCATTAATTTATTCTCTTAGGTTTAGGCTTAATCAGAAGAGGAATCAAAATATAGGGGTAC